GTGTCAACAAGGACATTGATTCTAAAGGGGGTGGATTGTGAGATCCCACATTAGTTGGGGAGGAGAATGAAACATTCTTTATAAGGGTGTGTAAATCTCTCCCTAGCAGACACGTTTTAAAAAACCTTGAGGGGAAGCCCAAAAGGGAAAGTCCAAAGAGGACAATATTTGAGGACAATATTATCTCAAAACAAGAACACTTGTTTGAGATTCGAATCACTCCACAAGCAAGATTGATCATGTCGAGCTTGAATGATTCTTGTTGATCAAATATCTCAAGGCAAGAACACTTGATTAAGATTCGAATCACTCCACAAGCAAGATCGATCATGTCTAGCTTGAATGATTCTTGTTGATCAAATATCTCAAGACAAGAACACTTGATTGAGATTCGAATCACTTCACAAGTAAGATTGATCATGTCGAGCTTGAATGATTCTACATGCAACCTAAACTACATAGAATTGCAAAGAAACTTAGCCATTGGCTAAAGAAAAGCACAAATGCTTCTTTTACTCTATTTTCCAAGTTTACTTACAAATACAACATACATGACTTTTTATAGCCTAAAAAATGAAACTATTAAAAGTATTCCAAGAGTTGTAACATTCATATTTTATGACCATAATTAGCCATTATGTAAATGTAACTTAAAGTAAATAAAGTCTTAAAATACAATAACTCTAAATTACTCTAAATTGTAACCCACCCAAAATTTATAACAATCAAACTTCATTATTCTTTAACGTGGCATGAATTGAAACATCTTTTGATAATTTTGACAACTTTTTTTTCGCATCTTCATTGAAGTATATTGTATGATTGATGTCTCTTAGTTCATATTAGGTGGGCTTGGCTTGTTACATCATAGCTGTGCTAAGAGAGAAAAGACTCAAAGCAAGCCTACATCTCTAGAAGCTAAAGTAAAGTCTCGAGTCAGAACTTCGACTAGTTAAAGAGAAAAACTAAAGAGAAAAACGGATAGAATTTACATGAAATTTGTGATGCCTATTTTCCAATATCAAAATTTTACTCCATAAACTTGGTATTGTCTCTCATAGTTGTCCATTCAAGTGAGATATCAAATCAATAAAGATATCATCTCTGCAATGAAATGTGAGTCCACCCATTGGATGATAATATTCAAATTCTTCAGTAGCTTGACTAAGCAAGTCTTGAAAACATGGTTGATTCAAGTACGTAACTGGAATCACGAACCGTTTCTTTTGATTCTCTCCAACATAGACTGCACAATACCCCTTAGGAACGGCTGAAACTCTCTGGTTTCCTGTTGTAGAAGATCGCCTAAGAAGACGACGAAGTCCCATCGATAGAAGAATGTTTCAATGTTCTTTAGGAAAGAGAAGGGAATCAGAAGATTTTGTGCTGTTTGTATAGGCTATCAAATAGGCATATATATAGAGAGAGTGCTATCAAAAGGTTATTAAACCAGTGGCCAGAAATCTTTGAATGATAGCAAGAAATGAGTGCTTATGCACATGGTTTTGTCTTCCAAATACTGATAAGTCCTGTCTTTATCAAAGAAGATTGCAAGCACTGACCCCGTTGATACCCTGAGAAATACAGTGGCAGCATTTTATATGAGCTTAAGCACATGAGCTACTTTTTTGGATGATACTGTCATTGGTGGCATATGTCTTGGACCGTATCTGTCTATTTAACGCAAGTTCACTGAATGTAAAAAGCTATACTATTTCCCATTTGATAGTCTTCCAATGATTGTTGTCTTGTTTCTACTTTTTTTTGTAGCTCTAGAAATCTGTTCGACATGAACCACGTAAGTAAATGGATTCGGATGATGCCCAACCAAGTATATATTATAGATTTTGTGAGGTTCTAGATTGGTTGAAGAGGGGAACGAACTATTTCTTATAAGGGTGTGGAAACCTCTCCCTAGTAAATTCGTTTTAAAACTGTGCGCCTGACGCCAAAAAGCGGACAATATCTGCTAGCGGTAGACTTGAGTTGTTACAAATGGTATTAGAGCTAGACATCGGGCGGTGTGTTAGCGAGGACGCTGGGCCCCTAAGGGGGTGGATTGTGAGATCTCACATCGGTTGGAGAGGGAAACAAAACATTTCTTATAAGGGTGTGGAAACCTCGCTCTAGTAGACGCATTTTGAAACCGTGAGGCTCAGGGCGATACGTAACAGGCCAAAGTGGACAATACTTGCTAGCGGTGGGCTTGAGTTATTACAAATGGTATTAGAGTCAAGACATTGGGCGATGTGCCAGCGATGATGCTAAGCCTCCAAGGTGGTGGATTGTGAGATCCCATATTGATTGAAGAGGGGAACGAAGCATTTCTTATAAGAGTTAAGGAAACCTCTCCATATTAGACGCGTTTTAAAATCGTGAGACTGATGGCGATACGTATCGAGCCAAAGCGAACAATAGCGATGGACTTGGACTATTACAGATTCCTTTGGTTGAATAAAATGTTTATGAGAATACTAATGTTACTAGAGTAAGCTTAGGAACACTATGTTGAGCCTAAAATGATAAGTGTTGACTCACTTTTAGAATGCCTATGAGCTAGTTAGATGAATTTTTCATGTTGCATTATTAACACATTTTGTGGAAGTTATTATGTGTTTTATGATATTGTTATGACTATGTATGATTTATGTGATGTGTCGTACTTACATGCATGTAAATCTCTTGAGACACCATGAATTGAAATGTTGTAAAGTCTATCAGAAATGTCATGATATGTATGTTAGCTGCGTAGTTCGTGTCCTATTTCTTCCCATAATTTGATTGTGTGAGAGGTCGTAAGACTATACGTAGGCCTAGGGTTTACAAAAATAGGGTATTCACCTAATGGGTCTATGTGCATGTGTGTGGATTGTGTATAGAGAAAGAGAAGTACTATGCATCCAAACCAACTCAAAAATAAAAATTTTAACCTAAGGCTATAGACAACTTTTTCAGTCCCATAAAACATAAAACAATAGTTGCATGCGTTCACATTTCTCAACTCCAGTGTGGTCACTTATTGAATTTTATTAAACGTTCATCTCTTTATTATTAATCATTTTTCAGGTAAAGCAAGAATCTCATGTCATGTATAGATGATGGCGTCTGCAAACCACAGACAACATTTTTCTGCATTTATGCTATATGATCATTGTTAGGATAGCTTTATAACGTTGAATTTGTTAGGGGTTGTAAATTTTTATTTGTAGTGAAACGTGAGGCCACCCATTGGATGATAGTAATCAAATTCTTTTATAGCGTCTATTTTAACTCTAGAGGTTCGTGATTTTTAACATGGTATCAGAGTCACGCCTTTAACTTAGCCATGCCAATAGGGTTTTCAAGTGTCGAACAAAGAAGTTGTGAGAATCGAAGGTATAGTCAAAAGTGACTCAAATGTCGAACAAAGAGTTTATGTTGTTTGAGGGCTCCAAAGTAAGAGTTAAGCCTCATTTAAGGAGAGATTGTTTGAGAGCTCCAGAGAAGAATGCCTCAAGTGATGAAGTTGTGAGTTTTGAAGGTGTAGTCAAAGGTGACTCAAATATCGAACAAAGAGTGTACTTTTGTTCGAGTGCTTCAGAGAAAGAGTCTAGCCTCGATTAAGGAGAGGTTGTTATCCACTTTTAAGGGATGTATTTCAAAACACATAGTAGCTAAAAATTTGTTTTTGTGTTTTTTAATTAGTTGCATTCATGTGAGATCCCACGCGGTTGGAAAGGGGAACGAAACATTCCTGATAAGAGTGTGGAAACCTCTTCCTAGCAAACAACGTTTTAAAACCTTGAGGTTGACTGTGATACGTAACGAGCTAAAACGGATAATACCTATTAGGGGTGAGTTTGAGATATTACAATTAAAACTAAGTCGTAGTAATAAATAATAAAAAGATTGGATCAGAAAAGAATCATGAAAATTAGAACGTTGACGTATTTTCATCGGGGCTAATGATGAGATTTGGAGAAGAGATTCATCCATTAAATTATAAAATTAATTTTTTTTAAATTTTATTAGAGTAAAGTACTAAAATAGAGAATAATAGTAAGGAATGACACTTGATTCTATATCATCTTTTTCTGTATCACAGTAATCAAATAATAAATCTTTTTATGATTATTGTTGTTTCTATTTTTTTTTTTGTTTTAAAAACATTGTGTGTTTTCAAATAAAATCAATAATTTTATTACATTGGAACAAAACCCCGGGAGAAATGAGAGATATTTTGTTTCACCACAAAAATTTATTTATTCAACGAATTTACATATAACGAATTTACATATACAGAACAATAAAGGTGGAGTCATCATGTTGACTATCAGCATTCATTTGGTAATAAGATAATAACGAGCTTTCATTTGGTAATAAGATAATAACGAATAAAAAAATAACATCAAAGTCAAATGATTATTATTATTTTTTTTTGGTTAAATTAAAATATAAACTTAAATTTTTTATTCGGTCTACAAATTTTAAAATAATTTATGAATTGTAAATATAAAATTAAAGGACAAAATTGAAACTAAATTCGAAGAAGAATAAAAATATAATATTTTGAAATTTATACGAAAAATAAAATTCAGGACTAAAATTGGAATATGTTTTAAAAGAATTTTTATATAATGAAATTTAAATTTTAATTTGATGTGTAATAAAATTAAGAATTAAAAAAATATCATCCGATTTTGTTTAAAGGACGTGAAGACTAAACCACAGTCATATCTCCCGTCTCTTACAAGAACAGGTACAAATTTCGCTGCAAACCAATCCAGATGCCAAAACTGGAAAAATTGACCCCTTTTTCTATTTTAGGGTTAGAAGGGTTCGAAAAGGAATCGTTGTATCTTTTTCTATTTTAGGATTCGAAAAGGAATGATTTGAAGGAGAGATTGACTAAAAACTTCAACCAATCTTCCTTTCACTCGATCAAATCCTAAATTTACGCCCTGAAAAATTTCAGACCATCCCCTCAAAAAAAATGAGGCCGATTCCAAGTAAGTAATATCATCAAACTTCTCTCTATATGTGTATATGTATGCATGCCAAAAGTCAGCCGTGGATATATAATAATCAAATCAGTTGCTGAGAAAAAATTTCAAACAATGTGGCTACAGAAAGGAAACGGTGTTAATGGCGGCAAAAAGGGAGGAGCAGGCGGAGGGGGAAAGGGGTTGGTGGCTATTGCTATTAACAGGGAAAAAGGAAGCCAAAATGCTATCAGATGGGCCGCCGAGCATCTGCTCGGAAGGGGCCAAAATGTGGTATTAATCCATGTGGTTCAGAGACCTTCCAGTGCGGCTGCTTCTTTGATTGGGGAAGCCATTATTTGTAACAGTGATGGCGGTTTCTCTGCTGATACCCCTCGGAAACAGCAGCTCGAGATGCAGACGAGGGACATTTTTCTCACCTTCCATTGCTATTGTACTCGCAAGGATGTAAGCTTTTGTTCATCACTGCATTTTTTATTGTGATTTTTGGGATATGAAATGAACTAGGGTTTTTTCTTTGTGTTGATTGCGTAGATTCAATGCCTTGATGTTATATTGGAAGACACCGATGTGGTAAAAGCATTAAATGAATATGTCTCGTACGCTGCAATCGATAACTTGGTGCTTGGGGTTCCTACGAAAAAAAGCATTAAATGAATATGTCTCGTACGCTGCAATCGATAACTTGGTGCTTGGGGTTCCTACGAAACATGGATTTATTAGGTAGTCATTTTCATTGATTCGTCTTTGATTTAGGGTTGGTTTGGCATGACTTTTTCAATAAGAAACACAATTTTGGCGCATGAACAGTCATTCCGAACAGGTCATTAGAATTTTACATTCCGCGAATCATTATGGAAGAATGTGAATTCTCACATCTCCAGTTTCTCCAAAGGCTTATGATGGGAATTGGTGATTTTTATAGTAGGTTCAAGACATCGAGCGTGGGAGGTAGCGTGTCGAAAGGGGCACCAGATTTCTGCACTGTGTATGTCATCTCAAAGGGGAAGGTGTCGTCAGTGAGAAATGCGTCTCGCTCAGCTCCCTCTTTTTCTCCTCTACATGACCATTTACAGAAATTATCCAAGCCAATCGTACAGGGAGCAATCACTCCTCGACATAAGTTTCTTCTAAGAGGTTTGTTCTTCGTGCTGAACTCAATTCCAAGCATTTTGTGTATGGTATATGAAGAAGTTTTATTGTGGCAAGTTTTCAAATTTGTTCTTTGGATAGTTCTATGTGATAATTTGAGTTTTTTTCCCATCAGCACAACCCAAAACAACTAATTTAAGGAAATGCAGATGAATGATTTACATTTTTAAGGAGTTTGGGTCAATGGGACTTGTATTAATTCTTCTTTCGTATGCAGATAGGGCATCGTTCAAGCCTCGCACCATTCACGATGAATTAGTCAAGTAAGTTGTGCTAAACTAGAGCTTGCGGGTTATATTTTGGAAGTTGTAAGATGTGCATAGACTTTCTCTCTAATTGGAATAGGTCACCTATCTCTCACGGAGGAGAGAGAATTTCTATCACGAAATGTAGCGGAGGGTTCTTTGAGACAGAATCCGACATATCCTTTATAAGCTCTGGCAGACCAAGCATGGATCGTACTTCTGTTGCATACGACTACTCTGATTCAGCTCCCTCGCGATTTTCAACCAGTTCAGAGAGTAGCTTTACATCTGTACCATTTCAACCAAAATGGACAGACCTCAATAATCTCAATGATTTCTCATCAGTTTCAGATGAGAGCTGCAGGACACCATGTTCCTGGTCATCTCAGAACTTGGTCAGCATATATTATCTTTACTTGTATTGACTATATTATATGATGCTAGTTCTTGATATTTTACTTGGTCAGCATATATTATCTTTACTTGTATTGACTATATTATATGATGCTAGTTCTTGATATTTTTAATTACATCTCACAGGATGAAGCAGAACTTGAAATGAAGAGGTTGAAGCTAGAGCTTAAACAAACTATGGAGATGTACAGTACAGCATGTAAAGAAGCACTAACAGCAAAGCAAAAGGTTTATATATGNAATCGTACAGGGAGCAATCACTCCTCGACATAAGTTTCTTCTAAGAGGTTTGTTCTTCGTGCTGAACGCAATTCCAAGCATTTTGTGTATGGTATATGAAGAAGTTTTATTGTGGCAAGTTTTCAAATTTGTTCTTTGGATAGTTCTATGTGATAATTTGAGTTTTTTCCCATCAGCACAACCCAAAACAACTAATTTAAGGAAACGCAGATGAATGATATACATTTTTAAGGAGTTTGGGTCAATGGGACTTGTATTAATTCTTCTTTCGTATGCAGATAGGGCATCGTTCAAGCCTCGCACCATTCACGATGAATTAGTCAAGTAAGTTGTGCTAAACTAGAGCTTGCGGGTTATATTTTGGAAGTTGTAAGATGTGCATAGACTTTCTCTCTAATTGGAATAGGTCACCTATCTCTCACGGAGGAGAGAGAATTTCTATCACGAAATGTAGCGGAGGGTTCTTTGAGACAGAATCCGACATATCCTTTATAAGCTCTGGCAGACCAAGCATGGATCGTACTTCTGTTGCATACGACTACTCTGATTCAGCTCCCTCGCGATTTTCAACCAGTTCAGAGAGTAGCTTTACATCTGTACCATTTCAACCAAAATGGACAGACCTCAATAATCTCAATGATTTCTCATCAGTTTCAGATGAGAGCTGCAGGACACCATGTTCCTGGTCATCTCAGAACTTGGTCAGCATATATTATCTTTACTTGTATTGACTATATTATATGATGCTAGTTCTTGATATTTTTAATTACATCTCACAGGATGAAGCAGAACTTGAAATGAAGAGGTTGAAGCTAGAGCTTAAACAAACTATGGAGATGTACAGTACAGCATGTAAAGAAGCACTAACAGCAAAGCAAAAGGTTTATATATGTCCAGATTTAAGTCATTTTTTGAATGTCAAGAATCAATCTTTCAGTTATATCATAAGTTTTCCCATAGGCAATGGAACTGAATGATTGGAGACGTGAAGAACAACAAAAACTAGAAGAGGCACGACTTGCTCAAGAAGCAGCAATAGCTATTGCAGAGCAGGAGAGAGCGAAATGCAGAGCAGCAGTGGAAGCAGCTGATGCAGCTAAGAGAATTGCAGAGTTAGAATCACATAAAAGAGCAAATCTAGAGATGAAAGCACTTAAAGAAGCAGAGGAAATGCCGAGAGAATTGAAAAATATTGCACAAAGTGACATCAGATACAGGTTATATTCAATTGAGGAGGTTGAATCGGCAACGGAACGTTTTGCACCATCTCGGAAGATAGGAGAGGGAGGTTATGGACCTGTCTTTCGTTGTCGTCTTGATCACACATCGGTTGCGGTCAAGATCTTGCGTCCTGATGCATCTCAAGGGAGGAGTCAGTTTCAGCAGGAGGTGAGGAACTTAAAACAACTTTGGGATCATTTTTTAAGAGCAAATGATTTAGTTGGATATTGTAAATGCAGATTGATATATTGAGTTGCATAAGGCATCCCAACATGGTACTTCTTCTAGGAGCATGCCCGGAATATGGCATTCTAGTGTACGAGTACATGTCCAACGGAAGTTTGGAGGATCGACTCTTCCGAAAGGGGAACACCCCTGTTATTCCTTGGCAATTGAGGTTTCGAATTGCTGCTGAGATTGCTACTGGCCTTCTGTTTCTCCACCAGACAAAGCCAGAGCCATTAGTGCACCGTGACCTCAAGCCAGCTAACATATTGCTGGACCACAGCTATGTTTGCAAGATAAGCGACGTCGGTTTGGCTAGGCTTTTACCTGCTGTGGCCGAGAATGTAACACAATGCTGCATGACTTCGGCCGCTGGAACTTTCTGCTATATAGACCCTGAGTATCAACAAACTGGAATGCTTGGGGTTAAATCTGATGTGTATTCACTAGGTATCATGTTGCTTCAACTAATTACAGCCAAGCCGCCCATGGGGTTGGCTCACCAAGTCGCTCGCTCTATTGAGAAGGGGACTTTTCAGGAGTTTTTGGATCCAGCTGTGACTGATTGGCCAGTGGAACAAGCACTTTGCTTCGCTAAATTAGCACTTCAATGTGCAGAACTTAGACGAAAAGACAGACCAGATCTTTGCAATGTTGTGCTGCCAGAACTTAACAACTTGAGAGAATTTGGTGAGAAGAAAATGGAGCACATGGTGTCATGGGCCATTAGTGGATCTTTGAGCGGTTTTAGCGATGCCTCAATGGAGCAGGTTAGTATGCAAAATTTTAATAGTTGTTGGGTAGTGTATAGCTTTCAGTTTGGTTTTTGAAAATTTAGACCTCATTTCATAACATTCATATGTTTGATAATTTAGTCGCAAAATAAAGTAGAATTGTTCGATAACGTTCTTGTTTCTGATTCCTAGCTTTCGGAAAGAAGTTTGGGAATAAATTTGTTTGTACATGCAAGTTCAAGGACCAAAAGTTGTCAATAGTTAATAATCATTGGAAACGGTTCAATACAGGATATAATGAGCGACCCGCACCTAATGATGACTTCAGAAAGTTCCAAGGGCCAGTCTAGCGCATCGTCACAGGCAGGAGGAGACTGAGGTACCATATTACTTCTACAATCTATCGCTACCTCTTGGCCTTTGGCCTAACCAAGGAGCAGTTAGATATACATATTAATATTGAACATAAAGTTGATATCTATGTAACTTATCATGCCACTTTTCTCAGCCCATTCTTCTTGCCAACATGATTTCTTAATATCTACCCTATGATATTCCTTCAAAAATGTGTGTGCACATGAAGGTTGAGAGCTGTTTTACTTATTTGAGCTTCCATTGTACTTTAACTTCATTTCTGAAAAATTCAGAGCTTCTCATTGGTGTTCTTTCTAGTTTATCTACTTAGAATTACGTTAGTGAATTGGAAAGTCTTGATTTCTGGTTTTGAAGGTTCATTTTTTGCCAATAATCAATGAAAAGTTTATATTTTGTTTTAAAAAGGAAGCAGGAGAGCTGACAAACACTACAATATGATCTTCTCTAAATCCTTTCCCTGAAAAGATTACACAATATCGTTTACCAACATCACTAGCTTGATGTTCTTTATTTAGTGTACAAAACCATATGATACTTCATGCGTTCTTGTCTGCTACTAAGCCTTATCCAAAGACTTCTATTACTATTTTCTCGAAGGCTCTATTTCTCACACCTCCTTTCATCGTCTATAAATACCATATTATATCGAGTTCATAAGAAACACCAGTCTTCTTATATCAAGGCGTGTTGAGATATTCTAGTAATTTGTTCGGGTCTCCCATTTATTGTATCCGAATAAAAACATGAGACTTCTTCAGCTTCTTCGACGACCTTCAACCTCAACAAAGGAAGGAGTTACAGTAGTTCCAAAGGGCTACTGTGCGGTCTATGTTGGAGATATCCAAAAGAAGCGTTTTGTCATCCCTGTAACTTACTTGAACCAACCATGTTTTCAAGATTTGCTTAGTCAAGCTGAAGAAGAATTTGGTTATTATCACCCTATGGGTGGCCTTACCATTCAGTGCAGAGAAGATATCTTCACCAATCTCATTTCTCAGTTAATTATAGGTCATGAGAAGCACTAACCTTTTAGATCAGGGATATTAGGCATGCTCAGATCCATGCACTCTTTTTCTTTTCAATTTGCTCCAACTTTTTGTTTCCTTCCATGGGAACTCTAGAAAATGTTTCTCTGCATAAGGAAATTGTTAATGGATGCAATTTTACCGTAATCCAAGTGTTTGACAGAGATTCTCTCTTCATTTGATTTCTTGATAATAGTCTGATCTTTCACGCAGTAGTTTTTTCTTATCGATTTATACGGTTAAATAGTGTACTATTCACCATCCGTGTAGTACCTATAGCATTCCATTTGCTTCAATGTAGTAATATTTGCTCAGTGAGTATCTCTGTACTTCTTTATTTTTAAAAACGTTTGTGTACGATAACTCAGGTAGTATCGTGAGAGTTCGAGATTCAATATTTGTTATGAAGTATTTTCTTGTACTTGCATTTTTCTGATGTATGACGGTACCTGTTCGTATGACTTTTCCGAGCTCTGAAACTATCAACAACCAACAAAGTTCCTATTTTAGTTGAAATCCTTCATGAGGAAGACATTGTAAGACATGGCTATGTGGTGCAGTTAAATATTGTGTCAACTGCCTAGTCTCTATCAATTATCATCTCACCAGGAGGACAACAAAGCATTATGTGCCTCTAATATGTCTATGATTCTACTGAAATTTCCTTAGTTGTACTGCATAATCAAAAGTTGGCCAGCTATGATGTTTCTGCATAAGGATCCAGAATGGCCCATGTTACTACTGCATAATCAAAAGTTGGCCAGCTATGATGTTTCTGCATAAGGATCCAGAATGGCCCATGTTACTCGTGAACTTGAAATTCTTGTTGTCTTGAAAGACAAAACCATGTGATTGTTCTTCATCTAGTTTCTTTCTTCATTGAATGCAACCTTCTGCCTTCTCGATATTTCTAACTCCAAGAAATCTCACCCTCCATTTATCTCCTTTGAGACAATCCTTTAAGGAAATATACCATACCATGGGGTTCCGGTTGCCTAGCATTATTCATGCTAAGCCAAGTCTTCGACGTTCTACATCATCAGGAAACGGAGCCTCTCCGAAGTACCTAGATGTTCCAAAAGGGTACTTTACAGTCTATGTCGGAGAAGGCCAAAAGAAGCGTTGTGTCATCCCGCTATCTTACTTGAACCAACCTTTGTTCCAAGATTTGTTGAGTCAAGCTGAAGAAGAATTTGGATACGATAATTCAATGGGTGGCATCACAATTCCCTGCAATGAAGATGATTTTGTTAATCTTAATCGTAGTTTTAGTGAGCCATGAGCCATAAGAATAGAGTTTAGAAATAGATGGTACAATGGATGGAATAGAATAGATTAGTGAGCCATGAGCCATAAGAATAGAGTTTAGAAATAGATGGTACAATGGATGGAATAGAATAGAATACAACATAGACTGAGAAGGGTATAAACATTTTTGAAATCAAACTCATTCTTTTAGAATATTGTACATTCATGTTTCTTTTGTAACAGAAACAATGTAAATGATATCATTTGGACAATGTTCTTCTTTTTCTTCCTTTTTTTTTTTTTTTTGTTTTCTTTTTACCATTATTGCATTTATTACTATCATATTTAATTTGAATATGATCATACAAACAAAACATCAGATTATGCTTCGGAATTCAAGAGGGGTTAAAACAAAAGAATGTACTCTAGATTCCTTCCCACATATTTAATTTTTGTTGGGGATCCCTTGTAAGTTGCTCATCAAGCAATGAAAGCTAATTTTGTACACCAACTAAAATACACTGACAATCAGAGCCGAATTTATAGACGAAAACTTAGAAAACAGAAGCATGTCGAATGCATAAATGATTGGTACAGTGATACTATTTTCTCCTACATTTAATTGAAAGTGGTGGGCTTTCTAGGATGATCATTTCTGAACAATTGTGAACAATACGCGTGAGAACAGATATACAATCTCAATCACTACCCAACTCTCTATAAAGAGTTAGAAGGCAGGTCCATGTGATGCTTCTGTTCAGACCAAACTGGCTCCCACAGAACCTAGTTATTTCATAGGCTTTCCTCTATATTAGATCATCTATGTATACAGACATATTACTCAAGATCAAGGTAGGTAGATTATTTGGCTATCAGATTGAGTACTCAACTCACTTCTCCGGTTGTTATTTGGAGACAGAAGTAGGCCATGGTTTTTCTGCGGAGTATACAGAATGACCATATATCACATGAATTTGGAACTCTCATAAAGGCTTGGAAGGCCCACCCATGTGATAGGTTATGAGAAGATATCTCTCTAGCGTTGAATCTCATCTTTCTGCCTTGTCAATGTGATCATCTATATAAAGGTCATGTAATTGGGTTCACAATCAACAAGACTCTTCCATACTCCGGTTATCAAAGCAAATTTCCAACTTTTGTACTTCTCTCAAAGTCTAACTAGTTCCTTTCAGAAAATACTATAACATGGGAATCCGTTTGCCTAGGATTGTTCATGCTAAGCAAAGTTTTCGACAATCTTCATCAACTGGAAATGGATCATCCACTGTTGACGTTCCAAAGGGGTACTTTACAGTTTACGTTGGTGAGGTACAAAAGAAGCGATTCGTCATTCCACTATCTTACTTGAACCAGCCTACTTTTCAAGATTTGTTGAGTCAAGCAGAAGATGAATTTGGATATGATCATCCAATGGGTGGCATCACAATTCCTTGCAGTGAAGACCTTTTCCTCGATCTCACTCGAAGTTTGAAAGACTCATGAGCTAGAGGGATTGATATCTAGAAATTGGTAGCATAGAAAAAGGGTTAGAATAGTACAGAATGTAGACTGTATAACACTTTTGAACTGAGAGAACTCAATTCTTTAAATTGAAATTTTGTCCTGTGTTCGTTATTCTATAAATGAACAAAATTTGATGATGAAACTGCTTGAATGGTGTTATTTGAAAAAAGATCTGAGATTATACTACTTAAAATGGCTACATGTAGTCCTACATGATAATCCTTTTGCATCTACTTGAAGTGGAAGCTCCCTTGGAAGTTTCATATTGAATCTTCAAGAAATTATCCTATAATACACAATTATTTAGATATCAGCAAGTTTGAAAAACATAAAGACAAAACTCAGAATTTGTTAGCTCAAGGTTGCCATGAAATATGAAAAATCAATTAGCTTTGAATCATTGGATTCTTAAGAAGTCAATCACTATGATTAGCAGTGTTCATGTTGTTCTATCATGAAAGTGCACTGATATTAGATTATGAACTTGATTCAACGGAAGTTAATACTCATAAATCTACCACATATTTAAGTAGGATTTTTGTAGGGTTGTTCACCATGTAATGACAGCTAAAATTGTATATCTACCACGACAAAATAAAAACCATATTATTGAGGATAAGTCAGCAAATGGAGCTTGACAAGAAGGGCTTCAATGCCTCAAATATGCCAGATCCTTTTAAAATCTTAGAGGTTTATTCGACTTACTTCTCTGGTTGTCATTGACAAAAGTAGGCCCTGATGTTCTGCAGAAGCTATACAGAATGACCTTATATCACATGAATTTGAAAGTCTCATAATGGCTTGGAAGTAATATCCATGTGGGTAGGTCTTGACCTGATGTCTCTCTACCATTGAATCTCATCTTCTTGTCTTGTCTAGATCTTTGAGTAACCCAAGTCTTTCTTCTATATAAACGTCATCATGTATATGGATTCACAACCAACAAGAGTCTTTCCATATTCCGATTTTCCTAAGAAATTTCAAGTTTGGCATTCCTTTCACGGTCTCATATTTATCTTGGAGCATATTGCAACATGGGTTTCCGTTTGCCTAGAATTGTTCATGCTAAGAAAAGTCTTCAACGATCTTCATCATCAGGAAATGGAGCATCATCAAAGGCTGTCGATGTTCCAAAGGGCTACTTTACGGTTTATGTTGGTGAAGCACAAAAGAAGCGTTTTGTCATTCCACTATCTTACTTGAACCAGCCTTCTTTTCAAGATTTGTTGAGTCAAGCAGAAGAATAATTTGGATATAATCATCCAATGGGTGGCATCACAGTTCCTTGCAGTGAAGACGATTTCCTTGATCTCACTCGGAGTTTGAACGACTCATGAACGAGAGAGATTAGAATCTAGAATTAGATTGTATAGAAAATGAATTAGAATCTAGAAACAATGTAAACTTTTTTGGAATGAGGGAACTTGATTCTTTTGATTATTGAAACTGTATGATATCAGTGAATGAAAGTTCATTCTTCCTTTCCTCTTATTCTTCACACTTCTTGTATATACAGTGGTATACAGTGGTACTGTAGTTCTAAAATAGAAAAGTAATTTCCTGACTTTTCTTCACCGGAAATAAATGCAAATAATTTCATCAAGATTGAAAAGGGTGCAAATCTAGATAAGAATTAGTTAGTTTAAGGTCACCATGAATTAGGAAACTGATTAGGTGAGATCTTTTGTATTATGATTAACAAAGTAAGACATTAATATTAGATTATGCACTTGATTCAGGTGAGGCTAATACTCGTGAATCTACCACAGATTTAAGCGGGATCCATGTATGGACGTTTGAATGAAACGGAAACCTTCTATCTTTTTTCCTATCTATCACAAGGGGGGCCTCAGGCTCAAAGACGAGTTTAGGAGGAATTAGATTAGAGAATGATGTTCTTTCTCCAATTTTGCTCGCTTAGCTCAAATTTTGGGCCCTCTCCCAAACTATTGGTAGCTGAGAACATGTTATAGATGATAAAGTCAGAAATCAGAACCATGTGCCATAAATGACTCTAATATATTGCTTCTATTTTTCCTTGGTTTTATATGTAAGTGGGTCCCTTTTAGGATGTTCATTCTAGAATGGTATGGAAAATTTTTTCCTTGGTTTTATATGTAAGTGGGTCCCTTTTAGGATGTTCATTCTAGAATGGTATGGAAAATGTGTATATCAACATGTACAGTCACAGTCGAAACCAATTTCTCTATTAATCAGTCTGAGAACACACCCCATGTGATGACTCTAGCCATATGCTCTACTGTTCATCCCACAATGGTAACGCATTAGCTTAACACCCCATGTGATGACTCTAGCCATATGCTCTACTGTTCATCCCACAATGGTAACGCATTAGCTTAACCACATTTAGTAGGCTCTTCACCATTTATTGGTCATCTATATAGACATATATCTGTCATAGAAGGAAATCTTCTTTTTTTGAAGTTTTAAATCTTCTTATACACAATATTCATGTAGCTAGTAGATATTGTTCGCTTTGGCCCGTTACATATCGCCATCAGCCTAATAGTTTTCAAACACGTCTACTAGGGAGAGGTTTCCACACCCTTACAAGGAATGTTTCATTTCCCTCTTCAACTAATGCGGGACCTCACAATCCTCCCTCTTTGGGAGCCCAACGTCCTCGCTGGCACACCGTCCAGTGTCTAGCTCTGATACCATTCCATTTGTACTAGCCCGAAGTCACCGCTAGCTAGTAGATATTGTCCACTTTGGCCCTTATGTATCGTCATCAGTTTTATGATTTTTAAACGCGTCTGCTAAGGAGAGGTTTCCACGCCCTTATAACCAACAAAGTTCTCTCAGCTGGAATCGTTCCCATTGAAGTGAAATGTAATAGACAGAGGTATTAAATACACTTAAAAGTTTGTTTCACAAGAAGGACAACAAGGGTTTTAGTACCTCTGATATGTCCATTATCCTATAAAAAATTTTAGAGATTTGTTGAGCTCACTTCTCCAGTTGTTTATGGGAGACAAAAGTAGGCCATGATGTTTCTGTATAAGGCTGGGAAGACACACCCATGTGATAGGTCATGAGCTAAATGCCTCTTCACCATTGAATCTCATCTTCCTTCCTTATCTCCAATCTCTACCTTTGATTGACCTAAGCTCTCATCTATATAAAGGTTATGCCATTTGGGTTCACAGCCAACAAGAGTCTCTTCATATTCCAATTCCCAAAAGAAATTTCCAAGTTATTTTTGAAGCATATTTGAAACATGGGTTTCCGTCTGCCTAGAATTGTTAGTACTAAGCAAAGTCTTCAGCGATCTTCATCGACAGGGAACGGAGCATCTCCAAAGGCTGTCGATGTTCCTAAGGGCTACTTTACAGTTTATGTTGGTGAAGCACAAAAGAAGCGTTTTGTCATTCCACTATCTTACTTGAACCAGCCTTCTTTCCAAGATTTGTTGAGTCAAGCAGAGGAAGAATTTGGATATAATCATCCAATGGGTGGCATTACAATTCCTTGCAGTGAATACGATTTCCTCGATCTCACTCGGAATTTGAATGACTCATGAACCAGAGAGATTAGTATCTAGAATTAGATTGTAGAGACAAATGATTAAACTGTATATACTTTTTGAAATGAGAGAACTTGATTCTTTGAATTGAAATTGTTCTACATTGTTCATAGCTCTTTTAATGATCTATCCTGTAGTGCAAAACTTTTAAGATGATTTGCTCAATATCTCAGAAGGTCTCAGCAAGGTTGAAAAAGATAGAAACCAAAGTATGTTTAAACTCATTGAATTCCCACTTAAGAGCCTAATTATCATGATTATCAAAGTACTGATAATGTCTAATCAAAAAGCTGGACTGAGATTATTACTCATAAATCTACCACAGATTTATGTGGGATCCTAGTGGGGTTGTTAACTAAACATTAGTAGCTGAAATTGTACACCTACCAGTAACCACTACCAATGAGAACCATGTTATGGATGTTAGGCCAGAAAACAGAAACATGTGCTATTCATTAATGGCACTAATAGATGGCCACCATATTTCCCCATCTTTATCTGAAAATGGGGTCCTTTTTAGGATGTTCATTCTAGATAGTAGTGGACTATGTATGCTAACAAATTCCCTATTACTCAATTTGAAAGCTAACCCATGTGATGATTCCTGCTATATGTTTCCACTGTTCATTCTGCAGTGGCACCCACGTTAGCAGTCACATTTTGTATTCTCTTCATCATGTATTGTTAATTTTGTATTTAATAGTTCTCAAGTTCATGAGTTACGTGGGCCATTCTGGATCTCGTGTTTAATAGATCACGTAACCTAATGCAATTAAAGTTTAGTTCTAGCAGAAGGAGAACAAGGGTTTAAATGCCTCTTGTCCGTAATCTCATCAAAATTTTAGAGGTTTACTCAACTCACTTCTCCAGTTGTTATTTGGAGACAAAAGTAGGCCATGGTTTTTTTTGCAGAGTATACAGAATGACCATAGATCACATGAATTTGGAACTGTCACAAAGGCTTGGAAGGCCCACCCATGTGATAGGTTATGAGAAGATATATCTCTAGCATTGAATCTCATCTTTCTGCCTTGTCAATGTGATCATCTATATAAAGGTCATGTAATTGGGTTCACAATCAACAAGACTCTTCCATACTCCGATTATCAAAAGAAATTTCCAACTTTTGACTTCTCTCAAAGTCTCACCAGTTCCTCAGAAAATACTATAACATGGGATTCCGTTTGCCTAGGATTGTTCATGCTAAGCAAAGTTTTCGACGATCTTCATCAACTGGAAATGGATCATCCACTGTTGACGTTCCAAAGGGGTACTTCACAGTTTACGTTGGTGAGGTACAAAAGAAGCGTTTTGTCATTCCACTATCTTACTTGAACCAGCCTTCTTTTCAAGATTTGTTGAGTCAAGCAGAAGATGAATTTGGATATGATCATCCAATGGGTGGCATCACAATTCCTTGCAGTGAAGTCCTTTTCCTCAATCTCACTCGAAGTTTGAAAGACTCATGAGCTAGAGGGATTGATATCTAGAAATTGGTAGCATAGAAAAAGGATTAGAATAGTACAGAATGTAGATTGTGAACACTTTTGAAATGAGAGAACTTGATTCTTTAAATTGAAACTTTTGTCCTGTGTTCGTGTTATTCTATAAATGAACATAAACTGGATTATACTACCTAAAATGGCTACATGTTGTCTTACATGATAATCCTTTTGCATTTACTTGAAGTGGAAGCTCCCTTGGAGGTTTCATATTGAATCTTCAAGAAATTATTCTATAATACACGATTATTTAGATGATCTACACAAGATCTCCGCAAGGTTGAAAAACATTAAGATAACTCAGAATTTGTTAGCTCAAGTTTGCCATGAAATATGAAAAATCAATTAGCTTTGAATCATTGGATTCTTGAGAGACTAATCACTATGGTTAGCATAGTGTTCATGGTGTTCTATCAAGAAGGTGCACTGATATTAGATTATGAACTTGATTCAACTGAGGCTAATGCTCATAAACCTACCACATATTTAAGTAGGATCCTTGTAGGGTTGTTCACCATGTAATGACAGCTAAAATTGTTTATCTACCAAGACAAAACTACCAATAAAAACCATGTTATTGAGGATAAGTCAGCAAATGGAGCTTGACAAGAAGGGCTTCAATGCCTCAAATATGTCTAATCCTTTTAAAATTTTTAGAGGTTTATTCGACTTACTTCTCTGGTTGTCATCGACAAAAGTAGGCCCTGAACAGAAGGTATACCGAATGACCTTATATCACATGAATTTGAAAGTCTCATAATGGCTTGGAAGTAATATCCATGTGGGTAGGTCTTGACCTGATGTCTCTCTACCATTGAATCTCATCTTCTTGTCTTGTCTAGATCTTTGAGTAACCCAAGTCTTTCTTCTATATAAACGTCATCATGTATATGGATTCACAACCAACAAGAGTCTTTCCATATTCCGATTTTCCTAAGAAATTTCAAGTTTGGCATTCCTTTCACGGTCTCATATTTATCTTGGAGCATATTGCAACATGGGTTTCCGTTTGCCTAGAATTGTTCATGCTAAGAAAAGTCTTCAACGATCTTCATCATCAGGAAATGGAGCATCATCAAAGGCTGTCGATGTTCCAAAGGGCTACTTTACGGTTTATGTTGGTGAAGCACAAAAGAAGCGTTTTGTCATTCCACTATCTTACTTGAACCAGCCTTCTTTTCAAGATTTGTTGAGTCAAGCAGAAGAAGAATTTGGATATAATCATCCAATGGGTGGCATCACAGTTCCTTGCAGTGAAGATGATTTCCTTGATCTCACTCGGAGTTTGAACGACTCATGAACGAGAGAGATTAGAATCTAGAATTAGGTTGTATAGAAAATGAATTAGAATCTAGAAACAATGTAAACTTTTTTGGAATGAGGGAACTTGATTCTTTTGATTATTGAAACTGTATGATATCAGTGAATGAAAGTTCATTCTTCCTTTCCTCTTGCCCTTCACACATCTTGTATATGCAGTAGTTCTAAAATGAAGAAGTAATTTCCTGACTTTTCTTCCAGAAATATATGCAAATAATTCATCAAGATTGAAAAGGATGCAAATCTAGGAAGTACTCAGAATATCATATTAAGAAACTAATATTAGATTATGCACTTGATTCAGGTGAGGCCGATACTCATGAATCTACCACAGTTGTAAGTGGGATCCATGTATGGACGTTTGAATGAAACGGAAACCTTCTTTCTTTTTTTCTATCTATCATAAGGGGGCCTCATGCTTAGGGATGAGTTTAGGAGCAATTAGATTAGATGATGATTTTCTTTCTCCAAATTTGCTCGCTTGGAATCGAGCTCAAATTTTGGGCCCTCCTCCCAAAGTATTTAGTAGCTGAGAACATGCTATAGATGATAAAGTCAGAAAACAGAACCATGTGCTATACATAAATGACTCTAATATACTGGTACTATTTTTCCTTGCTTTTATACGTAAGTGGGGTCCTTTTTAGGATGTTCATTCTAGAATGGTATGGAAAATTTGTATACCAACATGTACCGTCACAGTCGCAACCAATGGCTATTAATCAGTCTGCGAACACACCCCATGTGATGATTCTAGCCATATGCTCTACTGTTCATCCCACAGTGGTAACCACATTAGCTTAGCCACATTTAGTAGACTCTTCACCATTTACTGGTCACCTATATAGACATATATCAGTCATGGAAGGAAATCTTCTTATTTCTATACCCTTATAACGAATGAACAAAGTTCTCTTAGCTGGAATCGTTCCTATTGAAGTGAAATGTAATAGGCAAGAGTATTAAATACACTTAAAAGTTTGTTTCACAAGAAGGACAACAAGGGCTTGAGTGCCTCTGATTTGTCCATTATCCTATTAAAAATTTTATAGAGATTTGTTGAGCTCACTTCTCCCTCCTCCAGTTGTTTTTGGGAGACAAAAGTAGGCCATGATGTGTATAAGGCTAGGAAGACACACCCATGTGATTGATCATAAGCTAATGCCTCTTCAGCATTGAATCTCATCTTCCTTATCTCTAATCTCTATCCTTGATTGACCTAAGCTCTCATCTATATAAAGGTTATGCCATTTGGGTTCACGGCCAACAGCCAACAAGAGTCTCTCCATATTCCAATTCCCAAAAGAAATTTCCAAGTAATTTTTGGAGCATATTTGTAACATGGGTTTCCGTCTCCTAGAATTGTGAGTACTAAGCAAAGTCTTCAGCGATCTTCATCGACAGGGAACGGAGCATCTCCAAAGGCTGTCGATCTTCCAAAGGGCTACTTCACAGTTTATGTTGGTGAAGCACAAAAGAAGCGTTTTGTCTTTCCACTATCTTACTTGAACCAGCCTTCTTTCCAAGATTTGTTGAGTCAAGTCGAAGAAGAATTTGGATATAATCATACAATGGGTGGCATTACAATTCCATTACAATTCCTTGCAGTGAAGACAATTTCCTCGATCTCACTCGGAGTTTGAATGACTCATGAACAAAAGAGATTAGTATCTAGAATTAGATTGTAGAGATAAATGATTAAACTGCATATACTTTTTGGAATGAAAGAACTTGATTCTTTGAATTGAAATTGTTCTACCTTGTTCATAGCTCTTTTAATGATCATAGTGCAAAACTTTAAAGATGGTTTAGTCAATAACTCAGAAGGTCAGAAGGTCTGGGCAAGGTTGAAAAAAATTGAAACCAAATTATGTTTAAACTCATTGAATTTCCACTTAAGAGCCTAATTATTATGATAAAAAAATTGAAACCAAATTATGTTTAAACTCATTGAATTTCCACTTAAGAGCCTAATTATTATGATTATCAAAGTACTGATAATGTCTAATCAAAAAGCTGGACTGAGCTTATTACTCATAAATCTACCACAGATTTGTTAAGTCAGGAAACAGAAACATGTGCTATTCATTGGCTGTGCTGTTCATTTGGCAGTAATAGATGGCCACCATATTTCCCTATCTTCATCTGAAAGTGGGGTCCTTTTTAGGATGTTCATTTTTGGATAGTAGTGGACAATATGTATTGCTAACAAATATTGTAACCATCCAAACTCACTATTAGTAGATATTGTTTGGTTTGACCTGTTACGTATTGCCGTCAGCTTCACGATTTTAAATGCGTCTGCTAGGGAGAGGTTTCCACATCGATTGGAGAGGTGAATAAGCATTTCTTATAAGAGTGTGGAAACCTCTCCCTAACAGATGCGTTTTAAAACTGTGAGGCTGATGACAATACGTAACGGGTCAAAGCGGACAATATTTGCTAGTTAGCGGTGAGCTTGGGCTGTTACAAATGGCATCAAAGCCAGATACTGGGTAGTGTGTCAACAAGGACGTTGGGCCTCAAGGGGGTAGATTGTGAGGTCCTACATGGGTCAAAGAGGGAAACAAAGCATTCCTTATAAGCGTGTGGAAACATTTCCTTAGTCGACACATTTTAAAACTGTGAGACTAACAATGATACGTACTGAGTCAAAGAGGACAATATTTACTAGCGATGAACTTAGGCATAGAATGAAGTTATGCACTTTATTCAAATGAAAATGAAGTGAGCACAACATAAAATGCAACTATTTTTCCCTAGCTTTATTTGAAAGTGGGATCCTTTTTAGGATGTTAAGTTTGGAATGGCTGTGGATAATATGTTTGCCAACAAAAATACATTCACAAATCACTGTTCAGTGTTAGAAAACACATCCATGTGATGATTCTTGCCATATATTTTCACTGTACATCCTGCAGTGGCACCCACAATCCTGCAGTGGCACCCACAGTAGCAGAGTTTGTAGACTCTTGACTGTTATTGGTCATCTATTTATACACATATTATATGATTCTATGTTCATATCTAACATTTTTTGTGAAGCTTAAGTCTTCTTATGCAGAATTCAAGATCAAGAGAGTCAAGATATGGCTATCAGACTACCTCGTGTAATGCATTTCAAGCATACTTTTGGTCGAGTAGCTTCAAATTCTGCTGAATCTTTCTCGGACGACAGGAAATATTGTAATCTATGTAGGAGAGGAGGAAAAAAAGTGATAGTACCAAGGAATAATGTAACTGTCCAAATCCACCGCTAGCAGATATTGTACTCTTTGAACTTTCCCTTTTAGGCTTTCCCTCAAGATTTTAAAACGCATCTGTTAGGGAGAGGTTTCCACACCCTTATAAGGAATGTTTTGTTTCCTCTCCAACCGATGTGAGATCTCACAATCCATCCCCCTTAGAAGCCCAGCGTCCTCGCTGACACAACGCCTACTGTTTGGCTCTGATACCATTTGTAACATTCCAAGCCCACCGCTAATATATATTGTCCTCTTTGGACTTTTCCTTCTGAACTTCCCCTCAAAGTTTTAAAATATGTTTGTTAGGGAGAGTTTTCCATATCTTTATAAGGAATGTTTCGTTCCCCTCTCCAACCGAAGTGGGATCTCACAAAGAATTTGGATACGATAATCCGGGGAGGCCTCACAATTCCCTGCAAAGACAACGTCATCACTGATCTCACTTCATATTTTGGAAAAACTTGAAACTGAAGCACATTCATTCTCTTATTACTCAAAAATTGATTGAGATAATGTTGATACGATGCCTTACAGATTGAAGGAAAGCTTACAAATAAGAACTTGACCTTCGGCTTATCTGATCATTACTTCAAATGTCCTGCAATTTGATGTCATAACTGAGATACAAGAATGATAATCAGATGGCTCATCAATGGTTCGACCGACGAAATATGAACTGTCGAAAAATCGAACCAGCTGCTTCGGTTCAATGTCAACATATTAGAATTGATTCACAATTCATTGAGATTATTGATTTATGAATGAAACTGAAAGTGGAAAGCATCTTGGTGCTAACGAAGGACTTCATTCCTTCATTCTTTTTTTTTTTTGTTCTTTTTTATTGTTCGGTCCATGTGCTTCGATGTCCTCCATAAAGAAATACACGGTTATGCTTGTCCAGTGCGTGTTGCCCATACCACGCCAAACTCTTTATTTGACTTCATGTTGTATTGTCTTACTATTGTATTTTCTGTTTGTAAGACTCTTCGGGCGAAATAATGTCTAGGCATGCCAAACTTGAATTGCCTCNATTAGTAGATATTGTTTGGTTTGACCTGTTACGTATTGCCGTCAGCTTCACGATTTTAAATGCGTCTGCTAGGGAGAGGTTTCCACATCGATTGGAGAGGTGAATAAGCATTTCTTATAAGAGTGTGGAAACCTCTCCCTAACAGATGCGTTTTAAAACTGTGAGGCTGATGACAATACGTAACGGGTCAAAGCGGACAATATTTGCTAGTTAGCGGTGAGCTTGGGCTGTTACAAATGGCATCAAAGCCAGATACTGGGTAGTGTGTCAACAAGGACGTTGGGCCTCAAGGGGGTAGATTGTGAGGTCCTACATGGGTCAAAGAGGGAAACAAAGCATTCCTTATAAGCGTGTGGAAACATTTCCTTAGTCGACACATTTTAAAACTGTGAGACTAACAATGATACGTACTGAGTCAAAGAGGACAATATTTACTAGCGATGAACTTAGGCATAGAATGAAGTTATGCACTTTATTCAAATGAAAATGAAGTGAGCACAACATAAAATGCAACTATTTTTCCCTAGCTTTATTTGAAAGTGGGATCCTTTTTAGGATGTTAAGTTTGGAATGGCTGTGGATAATATGTTTGCCAACAAAAATACATTCACAAATCACTGTTCAGTGTTAGAAAACACATCCATGTGATGATTCTTGCCATATATTTTCACTGTACATCCTGCAGTGGCACCCACAATCCTGCAGTGGCACCCACAGTAGCAGAGTTTGTAGACTCTTGACTGTTATTGGTCATCTATTTATACACATATTATATGATTCTATGTTCATATCTAACATTTTTTGTGAAGCTTAAGTCTTCTTATGCAGAATTCAAGATCAAGAGAGTCAAGATATGGCTATCAGACTACCTCGTGTAATGCATTTCAAGCATACTTTTGGTCGAGTAGCTTCAAATTCTGCTGAATCTTTCTCGGACGACAGGAAATATTGTAATCTATGTAGGAGAGGAGGAAAAAAAGTGATAGTACCAAGGAATAATGTAACTGTCCAAATCCACCGCTAGCAGATATTGTACTCTTTGAACTTTCCCTTTTAGGCTTTCCCTCAAGATTTTAAAACGCATCTGTTAGGGAGAGGTTTCCACACCCTTATAAGGAATGTTTTGTTTCCTCTCCAACCGATGTGAGATCTCACAATCCATCCCCCTTAGAAGCCCAGCGTCCTCGCTGACACAACGCCTACTGTTTGGCTCTGATACCATTTGTAACATTCCAAGCCCACCGCTAATATATATTGTCCTCTTTGGACTTTTCCTTCTGAACTTCCCCTCAAAGTTTTAAAATATGTTTGTTAGGGAGAGTTTTCCATATCTTTATAAGGAATGTTTCGTTCCCCTCTCCAACCGAAGTGGGATCTCACAAAGAATTTGGATACGATAATCCGGGGAGGCCTCACAATTCCCTGCAAAGACAACGTCATCACTGATCTCACTTCATATTTTGGAAAAACTTGAAACTGAAGCACATTCATTCTCTTATTACTCAAAAATTGATTGAGATAATGTTGATACGATGCCTTACAGATTGAAGGAAAGCTTACAAATAAGAACTTGACCTTCGGCTTATCTGATCATTACTTCAAATGTCCTGCAATTTGATGTCATAACTGAGATACAAGAATGATAATCAGATGGCTCATCAATGGTTCGACCGACGAAATATGAACTGTCGAAAAATCGAACCAGCTGCTTCGGTTCAATGTCAACATATTAGAATTGATTCACAATTCATTGAGATTATTGATTTATGAATGAAACTGAAAGTGGAAAGCATCTTGGTGCTAACGAAGGACTTCATTCCTTCATTCTTTTTTTTTTTTGTTCTTTTTTATTGTTCGGTCCATGTGCTTCGATGTCCTCCATAAAGAAATACACGGTTATGCTTGTCCAGTGCGTGTTGCCCATACCACGCCAAACTCTTTATTTGACTTCATGTTGTATTGTCTTACTATTGTATTTTCTGTTTGTAAGACTCTTCGGGCGAAATAATGTCTAGGCATGCCAAACTTGAATTGCCTCAAAATGCATTATAGGGGGATGCGACTAGTTGTCAATTCTTCCTACTCGGAGTTCTATGTTAACTAAGCTGTTGTGTTGCATTTCTCGCTTATAGCCTATAACATTCCTTTCAAACTTTCTTTCAAATCTTGTTGTCTAACTCTTTCAAAAATCTTTATGCCCCTGTTTCTCTAAAACGTTCTTCTCAAAATGGAGCTAGAGGCTAAAGTATACGTCTCTTGGCTGTAGGCGACGCGATTCCGAATTGGCCACTCAGTGCTGAGAATGAGTGTCGCACAATCGCTTATAAGAGGATGCGACTAGTCGCCAATTCTTTCTACTCGAAGTTATATGTTATCTAAGTCATTGTGTTGTCTTTCTTGCTTATAGCCTGTAATATTGCTTTCAAACTCTTTCGAAAATTTCTCTACCCCGTTTTCTAAAACCTTCTTCTCAAAATTGGGCTAGAGGCATGAGCATACATCGCCCAGCCGTAGGCAACGCGATTCCAAATTGACTTAACTCACTAAATGCTGGGGTGAATGCTACACAATCACCAATCCGCTACCAATGGCATTTATTCAATTGTCTTTGTTATGAATGCTTGTTTCTATTTCTATTTCTATTTCTATCTTAGCTGGAATCTTTCTACCTGAACCAAAATATAAGACATAGCTATTTAATGCAAATAGAACTGTCGCACCAGAAGGACAACAAAGGCTCTTGAATGCCTCTAATATGTCCATGATGTTATTAAAGTGATAAGAGATTTATTCAACTCATTTGGTGGTTGTCATCTAGAGACAAAGGTAGGCCATAATATTTCACATGAACACAAAATCATCATAATGACTGTGAAGACACATCCATGTGATAGGTAATGTGCTAATATCTCATCTTCCTAACCTTTCCGATGTCACTATCTTTCATCTATATAAACATCGAGAAATTGAGCTCACAATCACCTCGACTTTCCAACTTTTCAATTCCTTTCAAGGTCTAATACCATGGGTTTCCGTTTGCCTAGAATTGTTCATGCCAAACAAAGTTTTCAGCGATCTTCATCGACTGGAAATGAAGCAACGCCAAAGGCAGTCGATGTTCCAAAGGGCTACTTCACAGTTTATGTTGGTGAAGTACAAAAGAGGCATTATGTCATTCCGCTGTCTTGCTTGAACCAACCTTCATTTCAAGAGTTATTGAGTCAAGCTGAAGAAGAATTTGGATATAATCATCCAATGGGTGGTATCACAATTCCTTGCAGTGAAGAAACTTTTCTCAGTCTCACACAAAGCTGAAGAACTCATGAACCAGAAGGGTTGTTTTACAAACTACATAATGGATGATATCATCTTTTTTAATGTTTGTGCCCTTATCACGATCACACTTTTCTTGACAGCAGACTTTGTGATTATGTGGCACTCACATCCCAACACCAAGTGAGTCATGCTAATTTATATTCGTGTTGCCTGCGGCTGATCAACGTATGCTCAAACCTCTGATCCTGATTGAGAAAAAAGTTTTTAGAAAAGGGGCAGAGAGATTTTGAAAGAGGGTTTGAAAGCAAGATTGAGAGATTGAAAACAATGTTATATAGCATACCAGCAAAATGCAAGACAATAACTTAAGTAGCATATAACTTTTTCGAGTAGGGAGAAGGCACAAACTTCAGAGACATCGAGTGTCATCCTTATTGAACTCGCCCAAAAATTCAGACACAGGGCTACCCCTTTCGGGCTATTGCTACTAAAACTAATTAAAAAGGGTCAAGTATCAAAGATCTCTCCATTTATAACATGCTTGATATATACTTTTGTTCATACACAATGAACGTATATCCCCCTGCAATCTAGCATTAATAAAACAGGAGCTTCTAATTTTGATAGAGACGAGAGCCTTTTCCTTTTATATCATAGTTATGTACTAAGCCAATGTATTGGAAAGCAATGATCCTATTATTCGTCAAGCCAGAAAAGCCAACCTAGAGAGCAAGCTTTTAATGTCGCCAAGGACATCTGCTTGCTAATCAAAACTGTGCAAAAAATATGACCAGAGAGTAGAGGGAGATGAACATAAGCTGAAGAGACAATCTTGAGTTAAGCAAGAGAAATGAAAGGACTCCTTTTCTGGACAAATAGCATGAGTTTAATGTCTCTTTCAGAAAACAAAAGACTTTCATCTATATAAAGGTCATGTAGTCAGATTCTCGATCAACCGGAGTCTTCCATATTTCAATTATCGAAAGAATTTTCCAAACTTTTATGATCCTTTCAGGCAGGAATTGGGGTTATCCCACTTGAATCAACCTTCATTTCAAGATTTATCAAGTCAGGAAGAAGAATAATTTGAATATGACCATCCAAGGGGTGGCATCACAATTCCCTGTAGTGAAGAAACTTTTCTCAGTCTCACTCAGAGTTTAAATAACTCATACCCAGAGAGATTGATATCTAGAAATAGATAGTACAGTATAAAAATAGGATTAAAAAAGTACAGAATGCAGATGGCAAGCATTTTTTTAAGTGGGAGAACTTGATTCTTTAAATTGAATATGTTTCCATAGCACAGAGTTCTTTTCATTGTCAAGATATGGTATCAGAATATGAGAAATAACCCGATAATTTAGACTTGCAACATGGTATCAAAGCCATCTTAGCCGATTAAATTTGAAGTCCACTTGTCGATAAAGCCTTCATAGCTGCCGATCATTTTCTGTGAACAAGACCCACCTTTCCTCTGGATTATTTCACTATGATGTCAGAAAAATGTCAAGTGATTCTTCCAATCGTCACAGAAGACATCAAATTCCAAGATTTAGATTTGAAGTATTCAATAATGGAGGTAACAAAGGGCGCCAAAAGAAGAAAATGATGGGAAATAAATACGATTCCAAATTTGTCATGAGCCAATTGCTCAATGTAAGAATTGGATGGTACCTTAAGATAGAATTGGTCAAGAATGCAATGTGTGATGACAAGAAAAAGAGGATAAACCCTAGGCATGTGAGAAACAATCAGGAGCTTAAAAAATTGCTTCAAGGAGTCACAATTGCAAGCGATGGAGTTTTGCCAAACGTCAAGTAGTTCTCCAAGAGGAGTGAGCACAAGAGAAGCAAGTAGTGCCAGTGGAAGTGCTCCAAGAGGCACAAGAAAAGTCAGCAACACCCGAGGAAGTGCTCCAAGAGAAGTGAGCACGAGAGAGGCAAGTAATGTCAGTGGAAGTGCTCCAAGAGGAGTGAGCACAAGAGAGGCAGGTAATGCCCATGGAAGTGCTCCAAGAGGATAGTATGCATGAGTTATATACTCTCATGGCTTCAACTGATAGATTGTGCAAACAAAAAGACTTCGCAGCTTACTACTTAATTGAGTTAATATCCAAACTGAAAATGAATGATATCTAGTTCTCAGCTCGAGGGGAGTGTCGAAGAATTAACCTTAAGTTAGGAGATATTTGTGTAATCCCATTAAATAAAAGAAGTAGTTAATTTATCTTTATTATTAGGATGTATTTAAATTTATTGTTACCTAGTATCTACAAATTTAGACTATAGTCTGCATATGTACCCAAAAAATTTAATACGAAAAATAGCAAGGTAATTCAGACTTGCAACAGATCCAATATCTTTTCCTTTTTTTCCTTGTGCATCCCCCAACCCCCTCTATCTTTCATTCATTATTTCATACAACTCCCTGTTTGTATGGTACAATATAGTTGAATGAAAGCAAGAAAAGTAGGTGTTCTTACTCAGACAATCCTACACTAACAAAAACTTCTAATTTTAATCTATGACCGACCAAAGCCCTTTCCTTCTATAATGATCATACACGAGCAACAGCCAAAAACTGAGTTCAACAGTTCCTAATTCAAAGCTTAACAGAGCCTTTCATTCATGACCAGGAAACTAATCTAAGCAGAAGACAGATACCAAATGGAAGGAAAAGAAAATGGCCTCATTGACTACACATGCATCCATTAAAGTCTACAAGAAAAGAAAACTAACCTCTTTCCCTTTTGCCAGGTAGAGCTTTCCACAATTCTCATGAGGTCCTGACATCAGCAAAACCATTCTTTTTGAGAGTCCTGCCATGGAATTGTAAAAAATCCTTGCAATTCAGACACAGTCAAGTTAGAACCACCAGAAAGTAGTGGCTTATATTTCATTGTCTTGTAATGACTTCACGGGAAAACCTAACCTAATCTCTTCCTCTTTTTGTTTCCATGGATTATCCTCCCCCTATTAATTGCTGAATGACCCAAATCCACTCCCTTCTTCTCCTCTCTTGTCAAATTAGACAGCACATTTTGCCTTAGTTTTTTCTTTGCCTATCCTTCCAGTTTACATCCATACCAAACTCTCCACATGTGAGATCCCACATCGGTTGTAGAGGGGAACACATTCCTTGTAAGAGTGTGGAAACCTCTCCCTAGTAGACACGTTTTAAAACCTTGAGGGGAAGCCTAGAAGGGAAAGTCCAAATAGGACGATATCTGCTAGCAGGGGGCTTGAGCTGTTACAAATAGTATCAAAGCTAGACATCGAGCAGTGTGCCAGCAAGGACGTTGGGTTCCTAAGGTGGGTGGATTGTGAGATCTCACATCAATTGTAGAGGGGAACGAAACATTCCTTATAAAGGTGTGAAAACCTCTCTTTAGCAGACGCGGTTGAGGAGAAGCCCATAAGGGAAAGCTCAAAGAAGACAATATCTACTAGTGGTGGGCTTGAGTATACCACCGAAGAACAGTGGCCCGACCATGTCTTTTACCCAAGGACCAGGTATCAAACTGTCCATTTCCAATCTTTAGGCAGCTCGCTACTCGCTAATTTCTGATGTTTGTAGGACACAAATGTTTGTCACCTAATGAACACTGTGATGTTTGCAGTCCCAAATCTTAGCTGCAAGTTGGAAGACAATTCCATGTGCATTTCATAATCCATTTCCCAACTCCATTGCCTCTTCACCGCTCAAAAGATCATTATAATTCTAACCTATATATACACATACTAATTTTATTTTCTGAATCACAAAAACAAACCAACCAGATCTTCCTTCAAAGTTCGAAAATCGCCCTCCGAAGCCAAAAATCAAAACAATCCACGAAATCAAAATTCTCGAGATACATACCATGGGATTCCGCTTGATAAACAGCCCTAGAAAATCGTCATCGACTGTTCCGAAGGGGTTTTTCGCCGTCTACGTCGGAGAGACCCAAAAGAGACGACATGTGATTCCGATTTCTTACTTGAAGCATCCGTCGTTTCAAGATTTGTTGAGTAAAGCCGAAGAAGAGTTCGGATTCGATCATCCGATGGGGGGCTTGACGATCCCTTGCAACGAAGATGTGTTCTTCGAAGTCACTTCTCGATTGGCGGCTAATTGTTGAAGACGAGAAACTGAAACAGCCATTCATAGATAGAATGTGAATCAACAATTTTGTATAGTAGAATTTCGATCCGTTTCCTTCCTCTTCCTCTTGAAGGACGATTTGCGAAAGGGAAATTGTAGACTTGTTTGAAGTTTGGGGAATAATTAAAATAACTCAATCATTCGTTCTTCTGTTCATAGGTTATTTCCTTCTTAGATCGGTACATTTTGCCTTTTTTTTTATTCCAAATCGTTTAGAGTTTTATCCAAACTTGGTCTGAAGTTCATTTGAGTGTTTGGTAACATAATCGCACTCTTTTAGACTACGATTCAACAATTTTGCAGCATTTAACTCAGGTAACAAGTCGGTTGTATAAATATCGTATGTCGTAGACAATTTGGATGTATGGTCGAACGTCAAACTAATTTTTTAGAGAAAATGTTTTATAAGACGTGAGGAAAATCATTGAAAACAAGTTAAAAGAAAATATTACAGAAGTTAAAGGGCGGAGTGTTGATGACGACTAGGTCCATACAGTACATTTTGAGACGATTCATGTCTAACCGACCTGATTTCAATAAACCTGGGTTTGACATGACATAAACATGCAGTTATAGAATGCCCTAGACAAACATGATCGTGACACTTGGTATTGGTCGACCACCATGGTCTTTAACTGACCTTACCTTAATGGGTTTGTGCCATTGTGAGTTGAGCTATGATACAAGGCCCAAGCTTTTGATGTCATTGGCCCAATTGCCATGGCCTATAGTTCCTGTAACTCCATATTTCCGAACCGAGACGTACGAGCTTCACCTTAGAGCTAACCATATTGTCCATCGAGAAGAAAAAGACATCTTGTTGATATAGGTAATGACTTTCAATTCTTTGAAGTATTTCTTAATCATTCTATCTTCAAAATCTCTCTCGTTTGGATGTAATCTCAGTTCATTCATATATCTCTCATTTACTCGAGTGTCACATTATCAATCTAAACCGGCAAGAAATCTTAATAACACTTTTCATAATAATTGTTACATTTTTAAATTACTAAAATTTACGTGCACATTAGTGATATTTTGTTGATATATTATATTATATTATATTAAATTTTCTATGATATTACACACATGTCGAGATTTAGCTCTATACAGGTATCGGTTTCTCGTGTTGAGGCCCGACAAATGGGTTGTCTAGTTCAATCCTTCCATTAATTAGGGCTCAAATCTTGGTTAATTTATTAATGTCAATTTAGGGTTTTCAAAGTCTACAAATAGCTTGCCTTTCTCCACCTATCATTTTTCGTTCGATCTTATCCACGTAGTTTTTCGTCTCGAGCCACCTCGAAAAAATCGGTTGATGATTGCTCATATCATACTGAACTAGATTGAACGATTTTTAGTAAAATTATAATAAAATTGAAGCAAATCATGAGACATTTGAATTACTTTTATGACATGATTCGGTATATGAATTTACAAGTTTAGTCCTCGAACTTTTAAATTTAAATCTACTCAATCTCTAAACTATAAAACGCGTTAAATAGGTTCTTGAACTTTGAAAAGTTTCTAAAACGTCTTTAAAACATATATTTTGTGTCCAATATATATGTTTCTAAAATTTTCAATTTAGGTTCAGTATCTCGTTAATCTATTCAACATTTTTAAAAAAAACATTATTTATAGTGTAACAGTTCAAGTTCACTGCTAGTAGATATTATCTCTTTCAGCTCCCCTTCTAAACCCTAAACCATAAACCATAAACACGTCTATTAGGGAGATGTTTTCACACATTTCACTCAATGTTTTAAAACGTCTCTGTAAGTAATGTTTCGTTTTTCTCTCCAACTAAACCCTAAAAGTTATTAAAATTTCAGTAATTTTTAAATTCAATTTAAAAAATTTATAGACTAAATTTGTAATTTAATTTTTTTTTTACGATAAAAAAAAATAAAAATTATTATACTTTATGGTCAAAATGATAACGTTGGTGACAAAAATCTAACGTCTAATCAATAAGACTAAATTCTCTCCCAAAATCAAGAAAATATTGAGAAAAAACTCAAATTTTCATCATTAGGGTTAAAAATAGATTTCTCGGGAAATTTCTTTTATCTTTTAACCAACCTCGAACATCGTAAAATTTTAATTTCATCAAGTTGAATTACAGATATTTGAATTAACAAAAAGCATAGTAAAATATTTATTAAAAAAATCCGTCCTCATTGTAAATATTCAAAATTTTCTATTTTATCAAAAAAATATTTACCATATAAACTTTCAAATGCTCGTGTACCTATTACATTAAATTTTTATGACATCGTTTAAAATTATTTTAAATGAATGTTTTTACCCTTCTAACAAAATTTTAAAAATTTATAAAATAGATATTTCGATATATATATATATATATTTAAATAATAATAATAAAGAAAATAGATGGGACATAAATGTGAATAAGTTTATAGAGTTGTCTTTACAATAAATAAGGAGAGGAAGAGGCTAACGTGGGCTTCATGTGCCAAACAAAAGTGTTGTCAACATCAAACCCTAAAGAAGCAAAATTTAATCTTTATTGCCCCTCTATCTCAACCACCAATTTTATTCGAATAAATACCGGGTCACGTTACAACCCTAATCAACAGATCGGGATTCAAATCTTTCACTCTACATATAATTATACACCAAGAAACGACCAAAGTTGATCAGTTTCTACTTCTCTCGAGAGCGTTGTTTTATATATCTATCCTGAAAATGTAATAAAGATGACTCAAAAAACTCGATCAATCTAACCTAAAACAACCAAACCCAACAAATTTATAGTCGGGTTCATTGTTTGGATTAAAAAATGTTACATCTCGAACAATTGGGTTGAGTCTGAAAAATGTCTCAACCTGACCTAACCTAAGATACGGAAGCTCGATAAAAAACCAGAAATAGGAGTACATTTGCCCTATCAATTACAAACAAACACAAAACTACAAAAGCAGCTTTTTTTTCTCGCTTTTTTTTTAGATAAGAGAATGTGAGCCATAGAACATGGGGACTTAGGGAGAGAAAGATGTAACTTTCAAAGTTTTGCTGTAAATGGAGCCACCCGAGCAAAGGCGGAGGTGGGGACGGGGACGAGGACGAGGACGAGGACGATGTGTATCGTTTTTGTATGTACCATTTTGAAAACGAGCTCGGTGTTTGGTTATAATTGTTCGTTTTTGTGGCTCAAAATTCAGCAGGACCATGTGGGAATCCTTTTTTGACAATGCTTTTTGTTTAGAGAAAGTTTGATTATGAGTGTGGGGAAATTTTTTCACTGGTTTTTATGGATTTAGAACCCACCAATGATTTTTTAGAGACATATTTTCGTTTGCCCATTTCAATATGTCCTTATAATATGTTATATATATATATATATATATATATGTAATCTATCGATTTTATTCACGGGTTTACTATAGTATAATTTCATGACGTGACGTTAATCATTTAGAATTGGTTCGACTTTTAATTCGAAATTGACGTTCGTTGTCAATTCATAACTAACGACTCTCTTGAACAACGTGTAAGAAAAAAGATATTTGTAACAACCCGTCCACTACTAACAGACATTAATGTTCGTTGTCAATTCATAACTAACGACTCTCTTAAACAAAGTGTAAGAAAAATGATATTTGTAAGCTCACCCATCGCTAATAGATATTGTCTGCTTTGACCCGTTACGTATTGATGTCAACATCACTGTTTTAAAACATATCTGCTAGGAAGTGGTTTCCACACTCTTATAAGGATATTGTCTGCTTTGACCCGTTACGTATCGTCATCAGTCTCACAGTTTTAAAACATGTATGCGGAGAGGTTTCCACACCCTTATAAGGAATATTTCGTTCTACTCTCCAACCAACGTGGGATCTCATAATATTATGACACCCATTTAAACGAGAACAATTTTTTATCAAATTATATTTTTTTTTAAAATCCGTACCACCTATCAACATACATTTTTGGTGTTATGATCGGTTATTTAGTGGATGTTATATTAAAAACGGGTAATTACACTTTTGGTCCCTTTGAGCTCGAGATTTATATCAAATTCGTATATATGTCTTAAAATGGAAAAATCAAATCCCAACATTAGAGATCAAGAGAAAATTAAGAATACATTAAAAATTAAAAATTAAAAAAAAAACTTCGGGATATACCCATTTCCTTGAGATCGAACGTTATCGTTGTTTAGATGACGTAAGCTAGACTGGTTGTTCCATAACAGAGTAGCAAACTGAAACATTCAGGTAGCTCACCTACAACCGAAATAGAAACCGAACATTTCGTACTTTGAATCTCGTTTCTATCGTACATTTTATACGTCATGAATATTTGCATACACATAGCTTTTAATTAAAAACTTAAAATAGGCACATTAATACCAACATAATGTACTATAAAGGAACCCCTCCATTTATTGAAATAATTGTGCCAGCTAGCCCTAATTTTTATTTTTTTTATTTTTT